TCCTCCTGGGGTCTCTCCAGCTCCAGGTCACAGGAGAGGTTCAAAGGCAATAATGAAGCTTCTGTCCAGTTCGTCAGGCTGCTTCTGCACTAGGACAGAGCTGCCGGCTGGACACGTGTGGACATCCAGAGAAGAGGCCCGTTGGGGCAGAGACACAGAATGAGGTGGTTCCCTCCCGTGGCAGGAGGACGGGCGTGGCTGTGCAGTGCGCTGGTGAGCGAGTGGCTGAGACAGTGCCTCCAAAGAATTTGGCAGACTACACAAAGTCCTTTCTATAATCAATTTCCATCTCTGTGTGTATCTGTAGAATAAGCCCTAAAGGAATTGCCCATGTTTTTCCAGTTGGTAATGGGGGCAGGTGATGTGAGGGACCATCACCCGGCCTTCCTGCTTATTATGTCTCACTGCATAATAAGCATGTCATTTCCTGTAACTTCTTCCCATTTAAAAAAAAAAATCAGAATATTACATTGACTCATGATGGTAATTTTTTATGATAAAAATATTTAGTTGAAAATAAAATTGTTCATTATAAACAAGGATGTTATGATCTGAAAACACCATCTGAAGAATTAGAGAGAAAAGCACTTTCAAAACTTGCTTATCTATGGTGACAGATATCATGAAAATTAGGCACAAACTTTGTTTTTGTTTTCTTTTGGTTTTTTGCTCATCAGCTTTCGTCAGTGTTTGTTATTCAATGTGTGGCCCAAGACAACTTTTTTTTCTTCCAATGTGGCCTGGAGAAGCTGAAAGGTTGGATGCTTCTGGTGTGTGGGGTCAGGTAGGGTCTATGTCATTCTTTTGCCCTTGGATTTCTAGTCGTTCTCCAGGTATCATTTACTGCTCCCCTCTGTGACCTATGTTTCCCTTTAGGAAGTTAGTTGAACATATATGTTTGGAACTATTTCTGGGTTATCTACTGTCTCATCAGTCTATGTTTCTGTTTTCATGAGACATCATACCGTTTTGACTACTGTAGCTTTGTAATATAATTGTAAATCAGAAAGCATAGTGTCCGACTTCATTTTCCTTTTCAGATCTATTTTGTCTAGTGTTAGTGGAGCCTCTTCAGCTCTCTCAGTGAATGTTTTCACATGTTTCTTTTTCCATTGTTTTAATTACAACCTGGTTGGGTCTTTGTAGACAAGATATAGTGTGACTATTTTAAAATCTATTCTGAAAGTCTCTGCCTTTGTCTTGGAGAATATTTAGTAACTAATGATGTAGGTTTTGTGTCTGTTGTTATGCTGTTTGTTTTCTATATTTCTTATCTTTTTTGTTACTTGGTTCCTTCATGACTCCTTCTTGCAGGTTAAGTAGATATTACCTAGTATACCATTTTAATTCTCTTATTTTTTCTTTTACTATATTTAAAAAATTATTTTCTCAGTAGTTTCCCTGGATGTTATAATTAACATATTAACTAAGATAACATGGTTTGGATAAATATCAATTCAGTTTCAATAGCACTGTTCCAATAACAGTTTCATGCCCTCCTTTCTGCTATCATTACCACCCAAATACCTTTTATATGCATTATAAACCCCTCAGCATAGTCCTATAATTACTGCTATGTAATTATCTTTTGTTTTAGAAGAGTGCTGTGCACCTCTCGGAGCTCCTCACCCCCGGTAGGCACTCACTGCCACCTGTCCTTCCTCTGTAGCCCAAACATCTCTCCCTGACATTTATGGTAAGGTAGGTTTAGTAGCAACAGTTTTGTTTTGAGAATTATTTACTTATTCTTCATTTCTTAAGGACTGTTGTGCAGGACACAGAATTCCTCACATTTCATTTTTAGGGCATTAAACATGCTCCCCACTGCCTCATCGTGCCCATGCGTCTCAGGAGACATCGGCTGTCAGTCTTGCTGGTGAATATGGACACTTTGCATGTGGTGGGCCCATCTCACCCGTGCACTCAGCATTCTGTTCCTTCTGGTTTCACACCATGATGTGTTATGGGTGGAATGCTTTTAGTATAGATGACTGCAAATTCACTGAGATTATCAGATGTGCAATTAATTTTTTACTTCAAATTTTGGAAGTTTTTGGTCATTATTTGTTCAACTATTCTGTCTGATCCTTTCTCTCTTTCCCTGCCTAGTGGGACACATATGGGCAAGGTCTTGCCTCAAGTGCCCTAACTCATCCTGATCTTATCTATAATGAACTGAAATGTGTGTGTACCTCCCAAATTCATGTTTTAAAGTCCCAATCTCAATGTAATGGTACTTAGAGGTGAGACCTTGGAGGTCATTAGGTCATGAGAGTGGAGCCCCGGCAAATGAGATCAGCACAAGCCACTGTAGGAGCAAGGGACACAGCACAAGGGCCTGCCCGGGAGCAGGATGGCTTCTTCAGACCCGGGGTCTGCTGGTAATTTTGAACAGGTTCAGCCTCCAGAACTGTGAGAAATACATTATTCTTTGAAAGCTACTCAGTTTATGGTATTTAGAGCATCCCAAATGAACTGAGACAAATTTGGAACTAAGTGTGAATACTGCTTTAAAAGTACCTAAAAAATGTATCTGTGGAACTGAATGATGGGTAGAGGCTAGAAAGGTTTTTAGGTTAAATACTAGGAAAAAACCCTATATTCCTATGAATGAACAATTAAGGAAAATTCTGCTGACAGCCCAAAAAGGTCAAATTCCTTGAGTTTTTGTTTGCCCATTTGTTTAGCTTTTTCCAAAAACACGTTTGAGATGAGAATTTATTTATTTTCTTGTTTTATTTGTATTGAAAGAAGCTTTAAGGACCACAGCTTTCCCTCTGATCATCACTTTCTGCCCCCGTATTGTGAATTTTATGAGAAATTGAGTACTTTCACATTTACCTATTAATTTCCCCACCTTCACCCCTAGCTTGTTGTAGTGTCAGCTCTGTAAATAGACACCTGAAAAACACACCATTTATCCTACGACTGACATTTTCACAAGTATCTCTTGGTGAATGAAACTCAATCTCCAGGATGTTCTTCAATAAACACACATATAAAGAATTCCCTAAGTTCCTGGGTGTTTACAATATGAAGAAAAAACTTGAATATAATTTGTTTGCTTTACATTTATTTTCTTAAGTTTAAAAAATATGCTTCATCATTGCCTTGTTAATTTTTCTGCCTTGTAAATTATTTCATTTTTGACCTGAAGGCTTTAAAGACTTTTTCTTTTCCCTTTGAGATCTATAAGTTTTATAGGGTTGCCCTATTGATCATTCTGGCTCAATTTCCCTAGTAATCTAGTAGACCTTTAAATATAGATCAATGGCTTCTTTTGTTTTTAGAAGGTTTTCTTAGATTACAGTTTGGAACATTCGTTATTTTCTATAGTTTTGTTTTTTCTGCCTTCATGGATTCCAATTATATGTATGTTGTTCCAGCTCTTTTCTCTCCAACCATTCTTTTTCATTATCCCATTTTCATTGTGTTGAATTTCATTGTATTTCCCTACATTTATTCAACAACTTTAAGTTTACATTTTATTCTATTTTCCATGGATACCATTTACTTTGCTTTTTATTTCTAGATATGTGTTTTTTCTTTCTTTCCTGAGTTCAGTCAACTCTCATTTCAATCTTAATGTGTCTACAGCAGGAATTCTTCCTAAAAAATGCAAACATGGTCACCTGTTCGTGCCCTCACATTAATCTGAAATATACATATATATATATTTTCATTTCTTTTTTGGTTTTAATCACAGTGTCTAGAATTTTTTTTTTTTTATGTCTCACAAGTAATTGAGGATAATTTAGTTTAAAATTTTAGGCAAAAATTTCTCATGTTTCATGTTTCTTTTGGATAGACAAGGAGGGAACTGATCATTGTTTTTCAGACCGATTTTAATGTAGTAGCTTTATTGAAGTTCATACATTTCCTTTTTATTAATTTTACGGATTGGGGGTAGATTATAAGATTTCTAATTCAATAGCACCCTCTTCTGTCCATGTGGCAATGTCTGGTTTCTTTAGTGGATTTTGGGTGTGGCAGTGATGGCGGCAGTGGAGGGAGTATGAGTCCTCTTTCTGTTGTTTTAATTCGCTTCTATCCCGTGGGACCTTAAACATTCCTCCCTTACTTACCTGCTGTCCACCAACTCCAGAGACCCTTGCCTGCCCCTTCTGCAGGTGAGGCAAAGGCTTCTGGAAGAAGAACAAAGAATAGCTTCCCTTTTCTTTTTTCTTATGGGTAATTTTAGGTTTGAGAAGATTCTGTAGACTGGTATGTTGAAAATATGTTTCATTATTTTTCAGATTTATATTATTGTTTTCTACTTTTGGAGATTATCTGGAAAGATGCAGAGTTAAGAAGACACCATCATTCTCAGATACAATGTCTATTAAACATTATAATAAACACAATATATTGATTTGTAAATAATAACATTTTTATTTTATTACTTTTAAGAAGTTGTTAAAGATATGAATACTTTGTAAAAGAAGAAATATAAATGACAAATGAGCATGTGAGAAAATTATTCAGTACCATAAGCCATCTCAGGTACCAGTTTAAAACATGATAGATCATTAAATATTTGTAAAGTCATTAAAAACAAATTACTTAGTGCATTACTTGCCTAAGTACTATCGTTGAAAGTTTCAGCGTATATTACAAATATTAAAAGTTTTTTACATTTCATCCTAGCCATTTAACTTCCAGATATTTATTGTGATAAAATAATAAGTGATGATCACAAAATTTGTCTATAATGGTGTCCTGAAATATTGAGTTTCTTGCCCAGAATTGCTAACAATAGTTTGATTAGATTAATTATCTCATATAATATGATATTATATAATCATTACAAATGCTGTTATAGAAAAATATTTAAGAATGGAAATTACAGTATATTTTTAACAAGAAGTTTACAAAGCAGTGTGTATGCGATCATTTTATTTTAATAAAAAATATGTATGTATTAAGTGTAAAAGAAAATAAAATAGTAGCAGTAATTTTGTCATGTTCCTACTTTGGCTGACTTTTGTTTCATTTTTTTCTTTGGAATTTTAAGTTTCCTATGTAAATTTTTCAGTGAAAGTACATCAATTTTAAGACAGGAGCGTGAATAAAATCCAGTGAAACTTGCCTGTGTCCCTGGATTGGAACAAGGGATTCAAAGCATTCTGCCTTGCTGGTATTCCCAGGTCCCCCACAAAGTCAGCCCTGTGTCTCTGTTTCCTATAAAAGTTAAAAGAGTCATTTATTAATTTATTAATGTCAGAGTAAATATAGGCAATTAAATGCTTTTAAATATCTATTTTTAAAGAGGTATGTATAAAATTATGTACGTAGAAGAATTCTAGGAAGTGTTTTATAGAAATAACAAAAGGAACAAACAGCAATGTTAGAATTAGATTCTCGAAATATATGAGAAAAAAATTTTAAGTAAATTTTATTTGGTAAAATTTAGACAGGTGTTAATTGAAAGGAAACAAGAATACCAGGTTACAGGCAGGTTAAACCCACTGCCTATTACCTGGAAGGGGTCAAATAAAGGTGCCTATTTAAATGTGTATTTAAAGCATTTAGATGCTGACATATAAGCTTAATGCAGTGGTTCTTAACCTTCCTAATGCCGCAAACCTTTAATATAGTTCAAAAGGGTCGTGACCCACAGGTTGAGAACTGCTGGCTTAATGTAACCAGCGTTAATTCACACATTCCAAAATACCTTTGGCAGCCTTGCCTACCATTTCTGCTTGGGAATCGATACTATGATGAGCTGGTTTTCTTCCTCAGAAGCTGAGATTCAGGTAACAGGTAAATGGTCAGGAATAAACACACAGATCTAGGAAACAGCTGACTGTCCAGCATCCAGTCATGTTCCAAGTCAGATAGTTCTCTGAAGCATTTCTTCATAAAATAAAAAGAAAAACAAAAACAGGAGAACACAAATAATGACTGAGTTTTCATTTTTGTATTTTGAGCCAGGAAGTACAACCTGCTAACACCATAACTTGTGTGTATGGGGAGACGGGGGAGGGGGGAGTTAATTTCAGCCAATTTATATAAAATAGAAGGTAGGCATCTAACAAATATCCCACAGCCTCTTGACTTTCTTGTTATAACCTCCAGGTCATGTTAGTCATATCTGTGCAAAAATTACTAAAACTGGCATAGGAAATTGACTCCCAGTGCTGAGGGCACTTAACATCCAAGTGGGTCTATGGCTTTGTACAAGAAAGAATTCAGGACTAGCTGACAGTGTGAAGTGAAAGTTAGATTTATTCAGAAACTGTAGAAAGTGAGAAGGTCAACCCCGCAGACAGAGCAGAGGCAAGTTCTTCATGCAGAGAACTGGCCTGTCCTGTCCTTCTTCTACTTGAGCAACATAAACCAGTAGAGAAGGCCGGTGCTCCTCCAGCGCCAGGGTTCTAGGGAGTGGAACTGGTGCTGCCTTCCCCTCCTCTGGACCAGGGCACTTAGCGGCTTTGTCCTGAGACCTCCTGACTCAGGCGGGCCTGGGCCTAGAGAGGGCATGTGTCCTCTTTTAATTTAGTGAAGATTGTCACCACTCTGAGAGTGACTTTATATTCATATACTGGCTAGTTAGAAAAAACAGAAAACAAATGTGAAGAAAATTACCATGTTATCTTCTGACTTTATTTTTAAAGAAAATATTAATAAGACAAAGCTACATTGATAGTCATATAAACTCCCCCAGTTATGGTCTTAATGCACTTTCCCCAGAGATAATCACTGTAGTTCGAAGGTGGCAAGTACCCATTTTATAATGTGCTCTGTTTGACTATGTATGTGACAATATGACATGAATAGCATAATAGTTCTATATACTGGAGGGTGTGTGTGTGTGAATAAATTGTAATACTTAATATATATCAATAGCAAAAGATGAATACAAGATGTACACAAGTCACGGTGAGCACCTCTTGCAGCTGCAGAAGTTAAAAGGGACTTGAGTATTCCAAGTTTAATACATGCATTTCCTTTCTTAAAATGCTTATACATTTTTTGGCACCCACAGTGCACATGTATATATGTATACACACACACACACAATAGGAGACCTGAGGCTGACCACCTCCCTGCACTGACCATCTCCTCTATCAGTCTAATCTTCATAGACCCGACAGGCCCCACATGTGTGTGTCAGCACAGGCCTAGTTCTCCATGGTGACCACCTCGTGCGTTGACTGGTCTGTTACCGTCCCTCAGGTGGTCAACTTACAGAGGTTCTGCTGCGTATAACAAATTGAAAAAACATACATATGCTGAAAACCTATATTGCTGAGACTAACCCAAAGGGTCACGTGTAAGCCCAGGCCATACCCTGTTGACTGCTGGCTGTACCCCATTCCCGGTGGCCTAACATTTTCCCCTCCTTCTGCATGGCTGAGAGGCAGATTGCTCCAGGGTCTGTTTTCAGGCTCTGCTCTCATAGCCATCTTCAACCCAGCCTCCTTGTGCCTCCCGGGCCATCCCAGATGGCTCCCCGAGGCCTGTGCACTGTTCAGAGCCCGGCTGTCAGCTCAGGGCTGGCCAGAGAGGGGCCCAGGCGGGGGCCAGGGTGGCTCAGAGTTCTTTCACGGGACTCGATCAGCTTCCCTGCAAAAACTGCAAACCCCCGAGTGTCACCATTTCTTGTGTGAACCAGCGTTTTCATCCAGCAGAATGAGCTGCTCCCCCATTGCCTCACTGTTGCCACTCCCCCGCTGGGACAGAGGGTCCCCACAACTCCAGGCTTGGTTCTTAGGGCCCTTGGGACCTCGACTCCTCTCTGGATCAGGCTTCTCACATGTGGTCCAAATGTGATCACAGGTCAACTTTAAATGAGATGCACCTTAGCTGGTGTTTGTGTGTGTGTGC